AAAACTCTAAAGACATACTATGTGAGTATAATTGCTAAGGATTCTTCACTACGGCAAGTTTTCGGAAGAACTGATTAATGTTTTTATTTTCATAAACAAATTAAGTGGCAGAGATTTACTATGAAGTCTGGCGATTATTAAAAAGGCCAAATGCCCTTCAAAGTCTGCTATGGCTGAGAGAACAAAGTCCAAAAGTTGGTTTTAAGACTTCAAAATATGAGAATTTGGAGACTTGGCATTTTAAAAGGTCAACAAACACTGTTGAAAGACTCAAGCTGCTGACTTAAATTTTATGAACTCTTTGGGATAAACACTATACTTCAATCAACTACAATTCTCACAAATATAAAAACAACAGTGGATTCCTAAGATAGTGCCTAAATATCCTAAGCAAGTAAATACCCATTCGTTTGATTTTCAACATTATCATAGCTACTTCCTAAAGCTTTTTGGTTTGACATTGTTAAATACTTCTTAACCAGAATACCTCTTCTCCACCTCACAAGAATTCTAGAAAATTACTGTTTTAATCCCTTGCCCTTGAATTGCTTGTTTACCTATATTTTTAAATTTAAGTAACTCAGTACCTATTCCTAGTTTGTAGCATACCATATTACAGTGCCACACATTTATCTCAAACTAGTCAGGTTATTAGGGAAAGAGTAAAAATATAACTTTAACCTTATCAATTATTATAATTATTAACAACAATTATAAGAATAGCTAACATTTATATGGCACTTATGTACCAGGAACTGTGCTAAGCACTTTACAAATATTATTTCATTTGATCCTCCCAACTACCCTGGGAGGCTGGTGTAATTATTGTGGAAACTCAGGTAAACAGAGGTATAAGTGACTTGCCCACAAAGAGTGTCTGAAGCTAGACTGAAATTACTATCACTTGGGGCAGCTACTGGGGCATGGATAGAGCACTGGCCCAGAAAGTCAGGAGTACCTGAGTTCAAATCCAGCCTCAGACACTTGATACTTAGCTGAGTGACCCTGGGCAAGTCACTTAACCTCACAAAAAAGCCAAAAAAAAAAGTTACTATTACTAATATTATTTCAAGCTTTACAACTTATGAAATAAAAAAAACTCAACGGAAAAGCAGCCTACGGTAGGTAATCCTTTTATATCAACCAATATGAAAGCAAAAAAAAAAATGCGGTACATAACTTTCTATTCTAACTGTAGACCATGTCTCCTACCTACCAAAGGATCTTTTTTTTAATTAAATTCAGCAGCAGCAAAGAAAATAGAAAAAAAATTCAAAAAGCATAACTAATTTTGGATTATAATGAATTTAAAGACAGCTCATTTGGGAGTTATTATGGTATTCTTTTTTAAGGCAACTGGGGTTAAGTGACTTGCCCAGGGTCAAGTGTCTTGAGGTTACATTTGAACTCAGGTCCTCCTGACTCTAGGGCTGGTGCTCTATCCACTTCGCACCACCTAGCTACCCCAATTATTCATGGTATTATGAAGATGTATTAAGTACATCCCTAATTTTTGAGATTGTCAAAGAGGGAGATTCCTATACTACTCCACCGAACATCTCTTTTGCCAATGACGAAGTATGTACATTTGGCTGGACAAACACTCTAAAACCAGCCTAGAATCCAAAGCCAACTTTATCCCTCCAAAAAATTAGCTTTAAGAGCTGTAAGGGCCTCAAACCATCTAGTCTACACCCCCACACACAAACATCTTTTTTCAAACAGATGGGCAATCAGAAATCCAGAAAGGTTACATGACTTGACATAAGTCAGTTAGTGCCATACCAAGGGGTAGAATCCAGACCTGATTAAGCTCAGTGCTCAGTTCTTTCTATCTTACTTTCACCAGGATTTTGCTTTAAAAAAGGTAACATTTTTAATTCTTTCAAACTTTCCCTACATTTTAATATGGATGACAATTATTTTATCAACTTGGAGCAAACATTTCTAAGTATATAAGAAAATATTTGACTATGAACTTCCAGGACATTGTCATGGAGGGTATTTATTTATTCACAAAAGTGGTGTCAGTTGAAATTAGAAAAAGCAATCTCAAAATTCAAGAAAGCTTGTGGCAGCTAGGTGACACAGTGGATAGAGCACCAGCCCGGGAGTCAGGAGAACTTGAGTTCAAATTTGGCCTCAAACACTTAACACTTACCAGCTGTGTGACCCTGGGCAAGTCACTTAACCCCAACTGCCCTGCCAGAGGAAAAAAAAATTCAAGAAAGGCATTTTTCTAAGTCTGACTTTTCAAATCTGGTTGCTGACAAGTGACTGGTCTTTTCCACTAAATGCTATGTCAGGTCCCAAGTCATTTTCACCATCTGCTCTAAGATTTACAAAAAACTTCCTCTTTCCAAACTCTCTTCTACTTCGATTGGACCTAGTATTAGACAGTAAACGTGTGGTCATAGGTCAATTTTCTGTGCTAGGATGCAACTATTAAAAACAGTTATCATACAAAGAAGTTATTTTTGCAGGGCTTTTTCTGCTCAAGCCTTTAACTTCATTAAGAAGCCAATGTATAGGTAGATACATTTCACACCATATTTATTAACTTTACTCACAAAATCTGAAACTCACTTTAGAAAATCCAAAACTCACTTTAAAAATATTGGCTTTTCCTCTTCATCTTTGCCCGACAATGTTCCACTTGCCTTGCACATGTCCTCTCCTTTCCTTTCTGTTTATCTGAATCTTACCATTCCATCAAGAAGGGCCAGTCCAAGTTGCTCCTCCTACATAAGCCTTCTCAAGACCATGATGATCTCTTCCTTCCTATGCAGCACTTACATAGCAGTTATAAATCACAACGTAAGACAGCGAGCATATCTCTAGTTTCCAATTAAAACTGAAAAAACCCTAAAGGCAATCTATGGAAGCTTTCCTAAACAACCTACTGAAACTTTGATTCCAAATAATAATCATAATAAACAACAATAACCTTACCGTTTTCAAAGTACTTCAACATACATTATCTCATTTGATCCTCAAATCAACCCTGTGGGATGGGTTAGGCAGGTATTATTACCCCCTTTTTACAATGAGGAAATAAATAAGAAAAATAAGTGACTTGCACTGATCTATTTAATGTTTGATTATGATGATACAGTAGTTTTCTATAACTATTTTTAAACAAATTGAGTCTGTGTGAGAAGCTGCCTGAGCAGCAGGACCACCAACTTCTAAAGTAACAGCAAATCAGTGTTTTTGATTGTTGCCAAGAAACTGTTAAAGTGATTGAGGACACCAGTCAACTCTGCAGCTTTGTTTTCTTGGGGCCCCTTTTCCAGAACTTTGTAAGGAAAGGTGAAACTCTGCAAGACTGCAAATAAATCATAGTAACATTAGGTACATCTTGAAATATGCAGAATTCTAATTAAATATGATGCCTTCTCTGCAATTTAATTCAAACCAAAGGAAACAGTTCAGTACCAAACCACAGTGTTACAAAACCTGCAGTAAGAATGCATTTTGCAAGAGCCATGTGACACACACATGACTGTCAGCTAAACTGATGGGTGGACCAGAAGAGAAGGGGGTACGGGCTCAGAGAATTTAGCAGCAAAGAACTTCAAATTTTAAGAAAACACTCTTGTTAGGATTTAGAAAATCCTGACATTACTTAATCTTTCCTTCTAACATACCTGTTTATTTTAAAGGCATTCACTTCAATCATCTCATTACTATTTAATTAATTTTACATGTATTGAGGGGAGGAAACTGGGGGTGGGGGGAGAAGGAAGCCAGAATTTTCCCAAGAAAAGTGAATTCCAGTTACTAGAAAAGGTGCCTAGTATGTCACATCTGCCGTTGCTGCTTCTCGATTAAGCAAGAAAAAGAAATGCATTAACTTTTCATGACACGTCATGAAACCTCATTCCTTATCTGCAAGCATTCAGGTAAGGTAATCCAAAACTTGCAGATCTACCAAAGATCCCACCAGTCTCTCTTTCTACTATGACTTTAAGGATAAGGACAGGGAAAAGACCTGTGATTTCAGTAGTATCCGGAACTTTTAGGTGAAGAAACTCCCTCTACCCACATAGGTTAGCACCTCCTCTGCAATTTAAGAGTCTCAGAGAGTGGCCTAGTAGCCCCGACGGGGTTAGGTGACTGGCCTAGGGCCACAAGAGTCAATTTTTTGTCAGAGGTGGGTCTTGAACCCAAATCTTCCGGGCTTCGAGGCCAGCTCTCTGTCACTCAGTGTGACTGGCTACTTGACTTTGTACGTTTTAATACGGTAATGATGGGTAGGTGTACTTGTGCCTGTGGTTTTCCTTCTGACCTACAGAAAACAGTGTTTTAGAGGGCGATGGAAGTCATTCTACCCCAAATGACCGGGTTCTTAGGAGGGCAAGAGGGCTGGCTCTCGCAGAATTCCTCTAGGAAACAGGACTCGGGGAAATCAGTCCATTTTAAAAGTGGCTCCACACCCCTGCTCCTCTTCGCCCCTCCGCTCTCGCCACGGTCCCAGAGGAGCGTCCGTGTTCACCTGCAGCCCGGCGGGGCCCCGAGGAAGGAGGGCAAAACAAGCTCGGGAGAAGGGGAGCCGTTCCCCTCTCCCCACGACCCTGCCCCGCCCGCAACAAGACTAGGGCCAGGGGCCGGCTCTGACAGCACCCCATCCCGGCCTCCCCGAAGTAACCACCCGCCTCTCGAAAGTCACTGCTCTCAACGGGCCCTCCGAGGCAGCCTCTCACACCCTCCCCCTTCCTTCCCGGGCCTGCTTCAGGGAGCCTCCATTTCACCGGACCCCGCCCCCCCCACCTGGGTCCTGCGGCTCCCTCTCAGCCGCACCCCCTCCGCCGTCAGACAATGGGGCCCCCCTGGTCCGGCTCGGCCCGGCTCGGAGTGGCGGGCCTCGCTCGGCTGCGCGCCGGCCGCCTCCGGCCCGGCCCGGGCCCCACGCTCCTCCTCCTCTTCTTGTCCGGTGTCCGCCCCTCACCGCCCGGGCCCGGCCTCGGCCTGGCTCCTGCTCCCGGACCCTCACTCACTATTCGGGATTCATGCTGGACATGTCACTGCAGCTGCCGCCGCCGCCGCCGCCGCCACCTCCGCCCTTGGTACTGCTGCTACTACCGCCGCTGCCGCCTTGATTCTCCGCGCCCGGAACCGACGAAAAGGAATGAGAAAGTCCGTTCCGGGAGAGCAAACGTCTTCCCCCCTCCGCACCAGTGAACACAATCAGCTGCCACTACTGCCACTGCGACCGCCACCGCTCCAGCCGCTCGGCTCTCGCTTCCACCCAAAATGGCCGCCGCCGAACCAGGAAATAAGGAAGCCTCAGACCGAAGGGCCTTTACACAGCCCAGAGGGCGGCCGCACCGCACTGCATGCCGGGCAAGATAGTCCAGGCGCGCGCCTGGCGGCCCCGCAGCCAGATGGTTTGGTAAGGCGGCTGGGACTCGCTTTCCCGACGAGCCCGGCTCCCTTGGCGCATGCGCATTAATGGAACTGTTGACCACCCCACTTTACCCCACTTCCCCCCCCTTTCCTCTCCCCTCCCGACCGTCTCTCGGGAGAAGGCTCCGCTCTGACTCCCCCTAGCGGATTGGCTAAAGCTGAGCGGCCTCGGTGATGTCATCAGTGAAACGTGGCAGCTGGGCGAGTCAGTGACCTAAAGGGGAGGAGGAGGTGTCAAGGGAGGGGCTGAACTGCGGGAGAGGGGTGGGGCGAGAAGCGAGGGGCGGGGAAGAGGAAGAGAAAAAGGAGCCGGGAGGAAGGAAGAAAAGGGAAGGGTCCAGCTGGAGAGGAAACCCTAGAGGGAGGAAGCTTAGAAAGGCAGCTGGGTGGGAAGCCGCCCTGAGCTGTCTCACTTTAGGGCCTTAATTCCCCGAATATAAGATTCCTAGGAAAAGACTTTGAAAGGTGCTGGGAGCAAAGCGGATACTCCCGTTGCCTCTGCTACACCTGATTGAACTCTGGAATTGTGTTCGTGTAATCCTGACTCCTCCCTCTCCTTTCCCCGACCTCCAATCAGACACAGACACAGACACAGACACACAGAGACACACACACACACACACACACACACACACACACACACACACACACACACACACACACACACACACACACACACACACACTTTCTAAACCCTAATTTCAAAAGTCTCCTAATTAGTCCTTCATCTACTTGGTCTAATTCTTCCTCTTGGTACCTCTGATACACACACACACACACACACACACACACACACACACACACACGTGTACATACACTCACATAATTTCAAAAGTGTCCTAATTAGTCCTCCTGCCTCTGCCTGGTCCAGTTCATCCCGTTGGTACCTGGCTGTCAGAGCAGTCTAACTGAAGATGATTTCATTATGTCACTTCTATGAGCTGGGTGACCTTGGGCTAGTCATTGAGCCTCAGTTTCCTTATCTGTAAAATGGGGAATATTTGCCCCTCTGGGTTAATGTGAGGTAGCTCTTTGTAAACCTTAAGAACATATGAGCTATGGCCTTTAAAAATCAAGCCCCAAAATTTTAAAAATTATATATGTATGTATATATGTATATATATATACATACATATATATATATACACACATATATATATGGGGGCAGCTAGGTGCCGCAGTGGATAGAGTTCTGGCCTTGGAGACAGGAGGACCTGAGTTCAAATCTGGTTTCAGACACATGAATGACACTAGCTGTGTGACCCTGGGCAAGTCACTTAACCCCAATTGCCTCACTGGGGAAAAAAAAAAGAAAAAAAATATATGTGTAATATACATATATAATGATCTGCCTTCTTCCTCTTCCACTCCAACCCCCCCATAAACACATTTGTGAACTAAAGAAAAATAAATCCTGTTATATATATATATATACATATATATGTATATATATATATATATATATATAGTTAGTAAAAACAAATTCTCACATTGACCATGTCCTTTAAAAAAATTGTCTCATTTTGCCCTCTGAATTCTTTTTTCTCCCTTCTGAAACCTCTATCAGGATGTGGGTAGCATTTTTCATCATTAGTCCTCTGGAATCATGGTTAGTTATTGTGCTGATAAGAGTTCCTGATTCTTTCTCCACCTTCATTTAGCAACACATGAAGTAAGTTGCTTGCCTTTGCCATACTGCTATCTTGGTACAAATTGTTCTGTTTCTGCTCACTCCATTTGGCATCAGTTCATACAAGTCTTCCCAGGTTTCTCTGAAACCATCCCTTTCAACTCTTCTTACAACACAACAGTATTCCAAAGTATATTATAATTTATTCATTCAATTCCCCAATTTATGGATGCCCCCTCTGATCCCCATTCTTTGCCATCTCAAAAGAATTTTAAGTATTTTTATACAAACTTAGAGTTTGTTTTCCTTAAGACTAATCCCTCCCTTAATCTACCCTCCTCCCAGTTTTCCCTCTCTACTTCTCCCCTTTCCCTTCTATGCTGTCCAGGTGTGTGTGGGTGTGGGTGTGGGTGGGTGGGTGTGTTGGTGTGTATTCTTCCTTTGCTTAACTCATTCAGATGAAAGTGAGGTTGAAGTATCAGCCATTTCCTCCACTCTTTTCCCTTGTTTGTGTAGTCATTTGTACATCCTAATTATGTCAGATAATTTAATCCTCCTTCCCCTCCTCTATTCCTCTTCCTCTCTCTTTCCATTCTTCTCTTAAGATCAAGAGGTAACAGAATTCTCCTCGGCCTCATCTAATTAGACTTCCTTTATGAACCCCAATGATAATAAGATTCAGAGGATATACATATATCCTCTCTGTAACAGAATGTAAGCAGTTAAGTCTAATCTTTGTTTAGGCAATTATCAGTGTTTGTTCATGTTTACCTTTTTATGTTTCACTTATCTCCTGCATTTGAATTTCAAAGTTTCTGTACAGCTCTGACCTTTTCATCAGGAATGCTTAGAAATCCTTTATTTTAGGGGAGCTAGGTGGCACAGTGGATAGAGTACCAGCCCTGAAGTCAGAAGGACCTGAATTCAAATCTGGCCTCAGACCAAACACTTGACACTTATTAGCTCTGTGACCCTGGGCAAGTCACTTAACCCTAGTTGCCAAAAAAAAAAATCCTGTATTTTATTAAAGGTTCATTTTCCTCCTTGTTGCATTGTGCATTTTGCTGGGTAAGTTATTCTTAACCTGTAAAACCATATCCTTTGCCTTCTGGAATATATTTCAAGATTTCTATTCCTTTAAAGTGGTGGGTGCTAAATCCTGTATGATCCTGACTGTGGCTATTTGGTATTTGAAATCTTGCTTTCTGGGTGCTTGCTGCATTTTTTTTTTAACCAGGAAACTTTGCATTTTAGCTATGATGTACCTGGGAAATTCCATTTTGGAGTTTATTTGAGGAGGGAACTGGTATATTCTTTTTATATCTATTATGCCTTCTTCTAAAAGATGTGGACACTTTCCTTTTTTTTTCCATGATGTTTACATAATCCAATAATTCTTCAATTTTTTTCTACTCCATCTGTTTTGCAAGTCAGCTGTTTTTGCTAAGAGATATTTTACATTTTCTTCTATTTTTCAGCATTTTTATTGTGTTTTAACATCTCTTGTTTCATAGAGTTATTGGTTTCTATTTGGTCCATTCTATTTTTCAGGGAGTTTGTTGCTCAGATAAGGTTTTTTGGTTTTTTGGTGAGGCAGTTGGGGTTAAGTGACTTGCCCAGAGTCACACAGCTAGTAAGTGTTAGGTGTCTGAGGCTAGATTTGAACTCAGTTCCTCCTGACTCAAGGGCCAGTGCTCTATCCACTGCGCCACCTAGCTGCCACTCCAACAACTTGTCCCAAACTGTTAATTCCCTTTCCAATCTTTTCTTCCATAGCTCTCATTTCGTTTCCATTTTTTTCCTTCAAGCTCTTTCATTCCATTAATAAAAGCATCTCTCTCTCTCTCTCTCTCTCTCTCTCTCTCTCTCTCTCTCTCTCTCTCTCTCTCTCTCTCTCTCTCTCCTCTCTCTCTCCTCCCTCCCTCCCTCTCTCCTTGCCCCCTCTTTCATCTTTTCTAGGAATTCTAGTTGAGTTTTTGCCCAAGCTGTGTTTTCTTCTGTGGCATTGCTTGTAGATGTTTTGGAGTCATTCTCCTATTTTGTATTTTTGTCTTGAGTACCCCTGTCACCATAATAGCTCATTATGGTGGGGTTCTTTTTTTGCTTAGGTGGTACAGGGAGAGAGTACCTAGACCTGGTGTCTGGAAGACTTGATTTCAAATCCAACTCAGACACTTATTAGCAGTGTTGACCCTGGGCAAGTCACTTGACCTCTTTTGTCTCAGTTTTCTCATCTGTAGAATAGGGGGGGTGGTATTAATAGCACTGGACTCCTAGGACAGTTGAGGATTGAATGAGATAATAATTGTAAAGCACATAGCACAGTACCTGGCACATAATAAGCTCTATATCAATGTTAGTTATTATTGTTATTGTTTGCCCGTTCTTCCAGCCTGTTTCTTGGCTTTGGATTAATGTTAGAGCCGAGCCCCATGCCACTTTTGGAGGGACAATCTGGGCTGCTCCTATTGCTGCTTTCTTAGGGGAGTAAGTGTTATGTTATTCCAGGCTCTCAGGCCAAAGCTGGGCACCTGCAGGCTTTGGGTGTTCCCAAAGTGGTTTGATCCAGGGCAAAGTCTGATTGCTGCCTCCTGAGTCTGAGCTCTGCAAATGCCTGACCTGGATTTGGGTCAAAGAACAACAGAATGATACTGAACTCAGCCCTTATCAACTAGCTAGGAAATTCTGCTGGTTGAGAGTAACAGAACTATTGCTCCCTTTTGGTCTGGGATTGCTATGCTGGTTGGGGTCTGCCCATTCTGCCCCTGGGGTCTGAACCAAACTGGTACTGCTTGCTTCTGAACTTGCTCCTTTCACAGTATACCACCTGGGAATTCCCTACCCAGCAACACTACCGCTGTGTGTAAGACTGTGACCCAGAAGAGTGTAGTGGGCAACAAAGATTTCAGTGGGCACCTGTTCCCATCACGCTACCCTAGTATGGATATAGGGGTGCCTAGTATAGGTCTGGGATCCCCTCCTGCCCTGATGCACAGTCTCTGCCTAGATGCTGGAATCTCCTCTATGCCAGTGTGTTCCTGCCCCAAGTCCATCCCCAGTGTCAACAGACCTCTCTCTCTGTCTCCTTATGCCAACCTTAGCTGAACAAAGGACTCACTGTGACTTTTTCTGGGTTCCCCTAACAGGATTTGGTCTGGTACATTTTTAGGTTGATTTGGAGGAGTTTTGTGGATGGGAACTCAGCTGCTTTGCGTCCTGCTACTCCACCATCTTGGTTCCACCATGGCCACATTCTTTAGAGAA